ATCTCCCTTCACGAAGGGATGAGTTTTGAGTTTAACTTCTGGTTAATGGGAACCTGCTGCCGCCAATGTAATAAGCCAATCAAACCAAATCAATAATCCAGGTTTATTCTGAGCACAGCATTCCTGAGTGGTCCCAGGGGAAGTTGAGAAGACCATGTGTTTGTTCTCTGGGAGGCAGTTTAAATCCCTGTGGGAGTGGTCTTGAGCACCTCTGGGGAAGGGGGAGGGCTTGGGGGTGGAGCCTCCACCCGAACATTCCAGACTCTGGATATGTGGATCCCAGGGGCTTGGGTAAAGCCTTCACCCAAGCAATGAGTTCAAGGCCTCTAAAAGGCTGTGTAGGGAGCCATGGGCAGGGAACTGAAATCATCTCTAGATGCTGAGAGCATCCCACCCGCTCTCCAGTCCAGCAGCCACAGCCCCTTCAACTACTGCCACAGTTGGGTAAGGGTTCCACCAGGGCCCACTGTTAAAGCCTTAGTCCTTCATCAGGATGCAATTTGGGAAGACACTTGGCACCTTTGGGAAATGGGGCCTAGTAGGAGAGAGTTGAGCTACCATGAATTTCCACTGAAAAGGATGATGGGACTCTAGTCTCTTTCTCCTTTTGCTTTCTTTCTTTCTTTTTTTTTTCCTGGCCACCATGAAGTAAGGAGGTTGCTCCTCCACCATGACATGTACTCCACCATGATGCTACTGCCATACAGAAAGACCCAAAGTCATGAGTCTGATCAATCATGAGTGGAAGCCTTGCTAATAGAGTCAAAAGATCTGACAGAATCCCAGGTCTTCCAGAGGGCTTGGTAAATTTAGCCTAGTGAGATCCTTTGGGCCAAGAGCCCAGATCAGCCAGTTCTAAACTTTTAGACACTAGGAGATAATAATAAATAAATGTTGCAAACCACTAAGTTCTAGCAATTGTTGCGTGCTGTGGTCCCTCTGCAACCTGGATTCAGGTCCTGAGACGGGGAAAGGGTGTCAGAGGAGTTTCACACAGTGGCTGACCCGGAAAAACTCCAACCATCCTTATTTATACACCAAACATACAAGAATGTTTTCCCATACTAACAAACATGTTTTTCCCATCCTCCAATGCTAGCCTCTGGCAAAAACAAGTATGTCAAATACGTTTTTTCCCCAACTTTTATATCAAAACATCTTTAAATCAAAACAACACTTGTTATTTTGCTGGCTTGGCCAAATCGAGCCAGGTACAGCCTGTCTCTACAAAACTAAAAGGTGATTGACATAGGCATACATTTTCAAGACCAGCAGTCTCATTCAAAACAGAAATAGGGGTGATCTCCCTCTGATCCTGTCAGCACTGAATCAGCACAGCTCCCGGGTCTGGAGTGACAGCTGGCATCCCCAGACAAGAAACCTGTGAGGCTTCAGCTCCAAAGGAACTTTAGGGGGAAATATTGAGAAAAAAAAATGGGGTTTCCAGGAATGATCACATCTGTCCTATGTATGATTGACAAAATGGCGCTAAAACAGCCAAGAGACTCCTCGGTATACCAGAGAAGAGAACATGGAGGCCGGTGGTCCCAGCAGTCTTCTGCATTGTCCTGACGCCCACTGGTCCTTGCCGAATGAGACTGTCCCCCTGGTCTTTACCTCATCTGGAGACCCGCTAGACAGGCACTCATATATTGATCCAAAACTAGGCCGCACAGCTCCCAACAGTTGCTCAACAACTGAAGACTCATCCATGAGGGAATCTGCCCTTGAAGGGAGTTACTGTGGGAGCAGAGCTCCAAGCATGTCTGTGAGGGACTTTCTACATCTGGGTCATGGAAGTGGGAAGACCCACCCTGAATGTAGGCAGGGCCAGTCAACCAACTGGGATCCTGGATTGATTTAAAAGGAGAGTCCAGCACCAACATTCTGCTTCCTCGATGTGGATGCAGTGTGACTGCTGCCTCAAGCTCTTGGCGCCATGCCATCCCCACCGTAAGAGACCGTATCCTCTCCAACTGCGAGCCAACATCACTCCTTCCTTCCCTACATTGCTTTTGTCGAGCATTGTGTTTCCACAATGAGGCAAACAACTGGCACAGAGGGCAAGTAGGAGGGTCGCAAAGGCCAACACGAAAGATGACGCAGTTGTCAATCTGATTTGCTTCAGCAGAGAACTCTTAGGAGACAGCACTCAGAATGAGAGGCATGACATCAGAATTGGAGAATTTCGGGTTTTGAATGTGCATCTCAGATTTCACGTTGGAAACACCATCCTCATATCCACCTTAACACACAAATCATAGAGAATCCTCCCTGCCAAACACCAGTGACCCGTTCTGAGGCCAGAGGCTAATTTAAGGCTCACTTGGTGTGTGCAGGGACGGATCTCAGTTTGGAAACCACCCACTGAGGGCCACATTCTTGTGTCCTGGGGCCAAGGACTACACCAGGAACACGTTTCAAAACAGAATTCAAGACAACTGATTAAGGAAGGAAAGCACTCGAGGATGTGAGTGGCCAGTGGGCTAGACAGAAGACATGTTCACAAAGCCCTAGGTTATGACGCTAATAACCTTCTAGGTCACTTAGGTATCACCCTCTCGTTTCCGCAGCATGGGTTTTTCTCAAGTGTGTTACATGTAGCTCAGTGAGGAAGGGTTTCTGGTCTTTCTGGTATGTCTGAGGGTACAGGCTGATCAGGCGATGCTTGCCTGCAGCCACCTCGTTCTTACAGCTGCTGTAGAGCAGATGACAAGGGCGCTACAGAGAGCCTTTCCATGGGTATATAAACACACTCTTCAGTGTCCAGACCCCAGCATGACAGGAGCCATCTTCACTTGCCCAAGGAAGTTGCCAGATCAGGGTTGCCAGACCCCAGAAAACCAGTGCAAGAGGTGGGAGACATGGGAGGCCACACCGGTACAGTGCCTATACCTCAACCTACATGCGACCCTTCTCTTCACTTCCCTTGCATCCCCATAGTCATACATTTGTACCCCAGGATTCCCTCCCCTTGTGCTGTGAAACCTTTCCCCTTCCTCTAAGACACTTTACCTCCTGGGCCTGAGACGGGCCATGCTGCCATTTGTGTGCCTGTCTGCATTAATAACTCTTTTAATAAAGTTTTTACCCAAATTGGCAATACATCTCAGTGTTCCTTCCTCCAACTCAGCTCAGACTTTTCACTCTCAAGTGGTTTCATTCATATGTTGATGTTTTTATTTGTTTATTTAAGAAAACAATGTTTTTTCATTTTACACATCAATCCCAGTTCCCACTCCCTCTCCTCCTCCCCTTTCCTCCATAACTCCTCCAACCCCCTATCCCTCTTCAGAGAGAGTAAGGCACATTGCTTTTGGGGAAGGTCCAAAGTCCTCCCTACTATATCTAGGCTAGGAAAGAATGGTTTCCAAAAAGCCAGTACAAGCAGTGGGGATAAATCTGGTGCCACTGCCAGTGGCCCTGCAGTCTGCCCCAGTCATACAACTGTCACCCACATTCAGAGGGACTAGTTTGGACCGATGCTGGTTTCTTCCTGTCTGGCTGGAGTTGGTGAGCTTCCATTAGCTCAGGTAAACTGCTTCAGTGGATGTCGCCATCACGGTTTTGATCTCTTTGCTCATATTCTCATTCCTCCCACTCTTCAACTGGACTTTGGGAGCTCAGCCCAGTGCTCCAAGGTGGGTCTCCACCTCTGTTTCCATCAACTGCTGTCATACGTTGACGATGACGTAACATCACTTTCTCCAGTCTCTGTTCTCCCTTCCTGATGACGCTCATGCCTCTGCCTGAGTTTACGTCGGCTGACCCGTCGAGTCCATAGAATTTGCCTTTGTTCTGCTGTTCCCAGGGCAACACCGTGTTCCATGTGGGACGGTGAACACATGGGGAAGACTCCAGAAGATGTTGCCTGTCTTGCTGATATGCCTCCTACCAGTGGCTGAAGGGAAGAACTGCCTCCAGTGCTGGCCAGAGCTGCCCGCCCTGCTGGACTATGACCTGCAGGTGCTGTGGGGAAGCCCGGGGCCGCCCACGGAGCTCTCACAGAGCCTACACTCCTTTTTCCTAGAGGATAACGCCTTACTCATGCCCGGGTATCTTGGTGAGGCACAGCTTGGCAGGGATGGGAGCACCCTCTCACCTGACCTGATCCTGTCCCCAATGTCCCGCTGTCCCGTATCCCATTCTCAGCTCGAGACCACTTGGAAGAAGAAACAGCTATATTCTTCACCCACATAGACAACGCCATTAAGAAGCTGAGGGATGGTGAGGAGAACAATGTCCAGGACCCCAGGGATTGAAGTGGATTACAAGGACCTAAACAGCGTTCCCTGGAGGATACTTTGATAGTGGTCAGGGAAGCGTCCTAAGAGCACACTGTGTCACTGTGCAATCTAGGGTGATACAATCCTATAATTCTAGTACTTATGAGGTGAAGGCAAGAGGACTATAAATTCAAGATCACCCTCAGCTACACTGTGATCAGTCTGGGATACGTGAGACCAAGTCTGGGGGTCAGGAGAAACTGGGACGATGGTTCAGTAGATAAATCACTAACCGCACAACATGAGGGCTGGAGTTCAGATCTCCAGAGCCCAGCCTGGTAAAGCTAGGCATGGTAGCACATGTCTGTAATCTAGTGCTCTTAAAGGGAGATAGGAGGTGGAGACAAAAGATTCCCCAGAAGCTCCTGGGTCAGCTAGCTGCGTATACACAGCGGCAAACAGTGAGAAGCCCTGCCTCAAGAAATAAGTTGGAAGTGAGGACTATCATCCAAGGGCTTCCTCTGGCATCCCTATGCATGCTGTGACATGCACTTGGAGGAACACACAGACAGATATACACTTGTATATGTATGCCTCTGTCTATCAATCCATCCATCCATCCATCCATCATCTATCTATCTATCCATTTATCCACTTATCCATTTTTCCATCTATTAATCTCTATCTCTATCCCCACACACACATGCACATTTTAAAAATAAAGCTAGAGAGAAGGCTCAGTCATTAAAAGATTTGCCTTTTAAGCATGAAGATCTGAGTTCAATTCCCAGAACCCACATTAAAAAAAAAATGTATAGTGGTTGTACCTATCACCCCAGTGCTGAGGAAGCAGAGTCATGAGCATCCCTGGGGCTCACTTGACAGCCAGAATAGAATCCCAGGCCAGTAAGAGATCCTGTCTCAAAACTAAGGTGGGCAATTCATGAGGAATAACACCCAAGGTTGATTGCCAGGTTCCACACTCACGTATATGCGCACCCGTACATGTATGTACACATGTACCCAAAAGACATATTTCCTATCAGTGAGTTTTTTTCCCTTCTGCTACACCCAGATAAGTCAGCACTCCTGGAAGAACTTCGTGTTCAGAAGGGTATTCTGGCTGAAAGGCTGAAGGAGAGGTCCCAGGAGCTGAAGCAGAAGGGTAGGAGGCAAGGCTGTCCCTATCCACTCCCCAACCCATCATCCTTCGACCATGAACTGTAGAAGTCAATGGGCACTCCCCTCCTGAGATCTCCCCAGGAGTTCTGCCCTACCCACAGGTTAGGTTCTTTCCATGAGTCCCCGAGTCCCATGCCCTGCTCCCACTCCCTACTGCTCCCAGCTTTGTCTGCCTCTCTAGTGCCTCAGTTTCTCCATCATCTCACTTTCCTGGGCAGCCTGCAATGCTTCCTGTGGTGAGTATGTCCAGGGCTGAGCTGGAGGAAGGGATGAGAGTCCCTGCCATGTCTGAGGCTCTTGTCCATCACTCTCACAGACATGCGTTCCCCAACGGAAGTCACAGTATGTGCTGACTGCCAGACACACTTCCTGTTCTGCAACGACCCCACCTTCTGCACAGGTCAGTGGCCTCTGCCCCACTCACGGGATTTCACTCCACTCTTCCTCCCTTTCCCAGACCCCCCCCACCCTGCATTTCCCATCTCTCGTCATCATTCTTTCATTTTCAGTTAAGTGGCTGTTTCTTATTGTTTTTAAATAATTTTCTCCACTCTCCTCCCTTCCTCCCCTACCCCTTCTACCCTTTCCCATGATCCCCAAGCTCCAAATTTACTCAGGAGATCTTGTCTTTTTCTCTTTCCTATTTAGATCTATGTATGTCTCTCTTAGGGTTCTCTTTGTTGTTTAGGTTCTCTGGGATTGTGAATTGTAGGCTGGGTTTTTAGGGTTTTTTGGCTATATGTCTAAAAGTTACTTATGAGTGAGTACATACCATATTTGTCTTTCTGAGTCTGGGTTACCTCATTCAATATGACGATTTTAGCTCCATCCATTTGCCTACAAATTTCAGGATGTCATTTTTTTCTGCTGTGTAGTACTCCATTGTGTAAATGTGCCACGTTTTCTTTATCCATCCCGTCATTCTTTTCTATCCTAACTAGAATGAATTTCCTTTCCCTGTTGGGTAAAAGACACGAGAATCTTTGAGGTTTTTTTTTAACGTCCCTTGGCCTGGCTGTAGAGTTCGAGAGCCACTGCTTCTGGGTCCCCAGATTCACCACACCTGGAACAGTCCCACCCCATCTCTACGATGGATCCACCGTCAGTGCCCTTCTTATCAACTTTTCTCACTCAGACCCCACAGCCCTAAGCCAGGAGCCTCCTCTACCTTAGCCCTGCACCTCAGCTAAACCCGGAAAATGACTCTTCAGTGTGTTGTTACATTCCACTCTGGCTTCCAGCAGAACGCCCATGTGTGCGTGTGTGTGTAGAGATGTGTGTGTGTGAGCATGTGTGTAGAGATGTGTGTGTGTGTAGATGTGCGTGTGTGTAGAGATGTGTGTGTGTGTGAGCATGTGTGTAGAGATATGTGTGTGTATATGTGTGTGTGGAGAGAGATGTGTGTGTGCATGTGTGTAGAGAGATATGTGTGTGCGTGTGTGAGCATGTGTGTAGAGATATGTGTGTAGAGA